CCGGCTGCATGTCTGTCGTCCGTGCTACCAGCTTGCCTGATTTATGGAAAAACGCATTGCAAGTGTGTAAAGGAAGTTGGGTTTTGAACAGGTAGACTTCCAAACGATTTTCGAATTGAAGTTGCTGGATGTTTTGCGTGGCTTTAACAGCCCAGTGTACAAATTTCGGCCCACTGCTGTTTCTTAGTACTTCATGCCAATGTGTTAACCATCATTTTCACTGGATGATTCAAAAGACAATAGCAATCTTTTTAGCGATCGGACAGTCCAGAATACCCAGTGTTATTGGCTATGTCCAAGAAAAAACCTCCGAAAATTTACGATTTCTTCGTTCAAAACTTATCTCCGGGGAGGCCCTTATGACGATTTGCTCCTTGCTAATTTGTACAAATGCCCATCGCAGCGCGAATAGCATCTAGGCCTCTCTTTTTGCTACTTTTAGGCACTTGGACGCCGACTTACGCGAGGTCATTAGAACATCGAGGTCCTTCTGTCCCACAAACTTCTGAAAGGGGCTGCCCAGCAAAAGGAATAAGAATGGACTATCTGATTCCTTAGTCCCCGTGGCACGGAATCTCAGAACAACACAGTTACTAACGTTAAGAGCTAGACGCGACGAGCAAACTAGCGGCTAAGTCGAATAAGGCTACCTTGAAGCCTATGCCTATTTGTGTCTGACCGAATGGCACTCGGAAGCTTGGCATCTCCATGCTTACTGACGAGACCTCAAAGCATGTTGTTGACACAGTAATTTTCACGGAATAGGGAGAGTAATGGAGAAGGAAAAAGATAGTTATCTTCCAGTTTACTGCAGTGCATCGCAGCACAGGGGTATGGAGCCGTCATGTAGTTGCGTTTTTAGGGGAATCCATCATGTTTATCATGTGCACCTGCGCAAACTACCAGCCGAATCAAACATCCGTCCTCAATAAGACGAATTCAACTGTAAGTCCGAAGCGTTGGACGAGCAAACCTTTTGTTCCAATGCTCGTGCCTCCTTCTTGACGACTGATTTCTTAAACAAGTTTCTTCGTTTCGGTTAGCAAAACGCATACCATCGCTTAATTTTCAGTTTTCTCATAGGGCAGCGAAAACGGATTCCACAAGAGAAGGAATAAGGTTCTGATGGGCTCATTTATGTTATTCCACTTGTTTGTAGTGACTCCGTTTGGGGTTGTCATGTTTCCGATTTTCTGTAATCTGCCGCATCTATTAACATTATCATTAATTTTAGGTCCTTTTTAGAACAGCGGTACCTGTGGCCGCAAATTCTAATAATACGTGCTTGGTTAATTTTTTGGAACTCTCTTGTTATCCGTGACCGTTTTATATTTTGTTGAATTTCGGGAAAACTCTCGAGCTACTGAGGGAAGATTACTCCTTCGTCCAAATCGAGCCACTGAACCGGAAACCTTGGCGTACGTTCAGAATTGTGTTATTGGTTATCGGTTGCGCGATATCAAGGTAGGATCGAATCCGGAAAAATAAGAAAAATTAAAGTAGAAAATGCACAAAAGCCTGCAATTAATACCATTTAAATATATATTTCCTCTAAAACTCGAGACAACATTTTCACGTTTAGAAACTTCACTTTGAGCATATCTGATATTCATAAATTGTTTTCATTTTGGCCAGATTTTGTCCGTTAATTGGCAGATACTAGTAGATGTCAAGAAGGAGCTTACCGGATAGTTATTTAGGCGCGGTGACCTCAATGACGCATAGATAACGCTGTCTTTGGTTCAAGAGACTACGAACTAGTCATCGATGACCCGGAATATCATAAAAACAATTGTTTCTTAAGGAAGTCGGTGACATACTTTAAATGTAGTTACGTTTTGTCCAAGACTTTGTTCTCATTCATGCGACCAAGCAGGTTAACAGTTTTGCGACTTTTCGTACCTGTAGTATTTAGTTCATCTTTTGGATAGGCCTTCACAAACTTGGATGACATTGAGCTATTACAGTGCGCATATAAAGATAGGTTAAACGTCAGGTTCTTTTTGTGACCGGAGTAGGCTGTTGATATCAGAAGCCCTCCAGCAATTAAAACGAATTAATTGGACTCTGTTATAAGGATGCAATTAAGCACTTGGTAAGGGATTATGTTATTTATTTTGTTCTGATTATTTTTACTCTGTCTGCGGAAATTGTTTTAGATAACAAATTTTTACGAAGATATGAAATAGCACTTAGTCATCTCTTGTTCGTTCGATTACATTAGAGCTGAAATTTTCGGCCTTTATCGGTCATGAAAGTTACGTTGCCACCAAAACGTCTTAAACTCTCGCTACTTTTGTCTTTTTGTAAACCGCGATACGGTTTTAGGTTCCGCATCACCGAGTTATTATCACAAACGAATAAGGTGCCGTCCAATGACTGAAGAAGATTTAAATGCGAATGATAGAGTGAATAGTTCAGGCGATCAAGATAATCACGGTTTGTCCGTCTTTTATACACATTGTCTCGCGCAGAAGCCTCCGAACAGATAGCCATTCATGTAATTGACGACGCAAATGGGGGTTTGTCGTTTGGTTTCAATATATGTCCTCTTATCAAGTCGAAGGTTCCTGCCGTTGTGAAAAAACACTGTTATTAAGAGGAATGAAGTTTTTCCAGCGCTATTTTGAAGGAAAAGATATTGAAGGCGTTACTTCGGGAATCACGGTTCATTGCGATGTGGACACCTTTCAGTGGCTCCTGAATTTCATAAAGCAGGAAGCTTCAGCCGAAAGATTCGGCAGTTGTGAACTTACAATAGCGAACGTCTTTCCAATCATAGTCTCGGCTGAGTTCTTAGAGATGCCAAGTCTTGTAACATCGGACCTTTTTACGATGATTGATGCAGGTCGACGAATGTGTCAGATTTATCATCCAACACTTTGACGAACTGACCGATCAGCCATGCAACACGAGTTGCTTCCAACCAGTCACAATCGAAAGGTTCGATATGTCCTTGGAACGTTTAAAAGCTTTTTCCAGGATAGCTCAAAGTTTTATGCCGGAAAAATTGAGTTTAGTAAGAGAATCGTCGTTCAAAAGGTGCCTGTGAAATCTTTCTTGAATGAATCCATTCCAGTATACTATTCGAGCAGAAGGTGAAAGATCTTTTGAAGCATATCTTAAAAACCAATTCCCCTCCAGAAGGAATTCCAAAATTGTTTGTGTAAGTCGTTCCAAATTGGTAATTTTATTTTGCCAGAATTCTTTTTTAATCATTTTTTCCTTGAGGACCACGGGAACTAGAGGTACATACAGACAGGAAGCTATCTTGCCAATGGAAGAGAATATGCGCATTCCAGGTCCTTGTTTAAAGGAAGACAAAGACACAATCACTGGGATGGTAGCTTTATTGGTCTTAGCTTTCGAAATCCAACAAGAACTCATCGTCAGGGACTGTCAGAATGCAGCAACGCGGGAACATTTATACCGTTGTGCCGCGAAAGGGGATTACGTCCGTTGCTAGGTCTGGTTTGTGCTGTCTGGCCCGCAATGGTTCTCCGGCGTGGTGACGACGTTTGTTCTTCGAGGCGATGTGAGCTGCGTCCACCTGGCTGAGTGGACGGAATGCCTATGTTGCGGAAACCTATGTCGCTAGAGGGGAATGAACCTTTGATCCCCAGAGTACACACTGGCTTTTATATCTCTTGGTCATTGCAGTTATCGTCATTGCTTGTTTCAGTAAATAAGAGTTCCTTTTTTCTGGCTCATAAAAAAACTTTGTCGTTGTCAAAGTGCCTGCCGTGTTGTGACGGTAGGACAAACCGCTTTATGTGCACAGCATTGTGACCGTTCTAATTCGGATTTAAAATCAGTAACCGGCCATCAATTTGCTTCGTCAAACCCCGCTTATCCGAGTGATTCTGAAATCTTTGTCTGGACGTTTTACTTAAGTTTTCTATATTTCTGAAGAATATCCGCGTAATATTCATAAGCGAAAGTCCGTCAGTAGTGTGCATTGTGTGCACATACTACTTCAACATCGATGTCTGACACCTCTCAGTCGTGCAAATTAATTAAAAAACTTCCTACTTTTAATTTAAAAAATGCTAAGATTAGTCTAACTCATCGCTAGGTTGGGATGGAGGGATTAAAAATGTATACACAGCAGACTGGAGGGTGGCAGTGTCTTATCTTAGTGCGTAATTTGAAAATTACGATATCCATCAAGGAGATGATCAAGCTAAAACAGGCCTAGCTTGCGATTCAGAGAATAGGTGATTTCAACTAATTCGCAGAGCTGGCCGTCGTTGCGCAGACTGATTGTCAACATTTCGACCTCGTTTTCTGACTATGCACATTTTCTGTTTCCAAGGTCTGGGCATTAAACACTCAACCTTTTGAACTAAAGGTTTTTAACAGTTTTTCATCGTATTAATAAGTGCATAGAATAATTCTTGGTCGCATGTGTTTATGTTGCCTCACCTGAAGTAAACAAAGCACAGCCACCCGTAATACAGGACCGGGGATAGTAGGGGGTTTTACAGGTGGGGGCGGGGGCGCACAGGTGACGAGGTCAAGCATTTTTATGCAAAAGAAAAGTTTTTGGGAATGCGCGGTTGCATTTTGAGTGGCTGAGAAAAAATTGCCCTAACGCCTAGCCCTAACGCCTAACCCAACCCCAACAGTATTTTGTCCATCAGGTGCGGCTACGTAATCAGATCTTACCTAATCCTTAAATAACGTTTTACATGAATTCTGTTGACTTAGGTGTACCGCATGTGGACTCCTCCTGACATGGAATATTGCGCAAAAAGTGCCATGCCTCACATTGAGACGAATACTTGACCTGAACGGTGAATGGGTACCCTTTCACAAAGTACAAGCGAAACCTACTAAAGACGGCGGAACAGTGGTGTAAGTTGCCTTCCTCCAAAGCACTCATAATTCTGAGTACTAGTCCAGATCCAGAGGCCATTGTAGAAGGCCTACACCGAGTCTATAACACCTGGCAAATGACGTTTTGGTGCCTCTGGAATGCGGAAAACTGTTTGTTTTGCATGACTTGTGGCCACTACTTCTGTCCCTCGGCCCTTGCTCACGGCTGCCTTTATCACCCTGCAAAATTTTTGGAGAGAAATGATGAGAAAGTGGACAACGCGGACATTATAAGTTCAGGCAAAACAGGTCCAGTGTCAAGTGAGTAATTATTTCTTAGTTAAAGAGCCTCCTGACAAATCTAACTAGAGTACCTTTTTCAGGCAGAAGTTCAATCAACTCCATCAAAAAGAAGGTTCCCGTACAAAACAAACCCCGAATTCAAAGGCAGGTTTTGACACTTCATTGCCAAGTTTTGAAACCTGACCCGATTAACTGACATGCATGAAAGATGATGTACTACTTATTAAATGTGCAGTCTACTTTAGTTTGCAAAAAATAATGCGAACTCAAAACGGGCGCCAACCAAGATCTCGACCTCTCTCTCTTAGTAGATGCCATTTATACCCATTGATGCATGTCGGAGGGTTTGCAACTTTAGGCTTATGGGCTAGACAATAACTCTATATTAACCAATCACCTGTGTCCGGTGCATTGGCATATAGCTGAACACATACGACGACCAATCTTATGGAATGTTAACTGAAGTTCTGCACTGCGTTTTCGACTAGGAGGGATAATCTAAGTGGAGTTGCAATATTAATTATCAGGCAACATAATCCCAAGACATTCTAGCCACGCCAGAATGTCTGCTCTTCAATGGACTTATTTCCGGCCGCCTGCGGCAATCGAGCTACGTAGATAATGACTACTAAAGTTCCATTAACTTGCCCAGTGCTTTTCCACGTCCTCATACATTCAACTAAATTTGATAGAAAAAACTAACAAACATAACCTTTCATGTACTAATTTGGTGGCAAATAACGTATTCTTTAAAAGTTGCACTCGAAGAAAGGGCTTTTTTGGCTTCAAAAGGACTTTCAATTTCCGATTTTATTTTAACCCGATTTGCCGTTGCATTTATGCATACGGCTTACCGTCTAAAACCTGAATACTTTCATGCAGAAAACCGTGCACCCCTCTGCGCCATTGAAAAATTATCATAGGACCCAAAGAATTTTATAAACGGTGCGTGCTACGTTGGATGCTTCATATGGAGCATTGCTAAAAGGTCCCAAGATACGCACTGAATGAACATCTCGCGGTCTTAAAATGTCTCATAGCTGCAAACGTTTTTAAAACTTACCCTTTATTCGAGAATAAAATTTAAAAATGACGTGTTTTTTCACCCAATGACTACAAGAATGGATATGTCTGCCTATGCTTTCCATTAACTATATTCTAATTTGCAAGGGAATCGAAAATTAATGTGAAAACGTATGCCATGTAAGTGATCATTTTTTATTAGTCGTAATTTTTGCCGACGGCCGAAATGAAGCACTTTAGAAAGCTGGCATCCTGTTATGGTTAGAATATCTTGGGATTGTGTTGCCCGATACTCAATACTACACTTCTGACCATGCAATCCCTCATAATTCAAATGCATTTTAAATTTCTGCCCATATTTCATGAGACTATTCACTGACTTTGCGTGGTTATACGAGAAATTTTTTAAGTCAAACATTTAGCATGCTTGAAAATGACCGTATGAATACTCAGTCTGTTTATGAATACTCATGTCTGCCCATATAAAGAAGGCCGAAAATTTCTACGGGCCATTCACTTCGATGATTCGCGCATTAATCAGCGCCTCGAATTGGACGCCGCGCACAATAATCTCAAAAAAAATGAGAAAAGACGATAGGTAATCAGAGTGGAATGTCGGCATCGGCCCACTGGCAGAAATGACAGAGTAAAATAGATTTTCGCAGGCAGGCCTAAATTTTAACGGTTTTACACACTTACTGCAGTCTGACGATGTTCCGAGAAGCGCGCGTCGAAAATTGTATGCCATAAAGTCCGTTGAATTTCCCATACGAATCATTTCCTTTGAATACATATGTACATATGGTGGGACGGGTGCTCACTGATTGTATTACGGAACTGAGTCGTCCCGCTGTGCCTTAGGGATCTCTCTCGAGCCCAACCATCAGCCGCACGGCGGCGAGTAATATAGGCAGAGCAACGTTACCGACAAAGATAAGGGAGACTGGTCGCGGGATCGAACCCCAGGTGTTCCACACCCCGGGGTTGAGTATGGCTGCCTGACGATGGCTGATAGAGTAGATGTGGCCATTCCAGCCTCTCTTATCTTTGTCGGCAATTTACTCTGCATATATGCATATATATGGGTAGACAGAGATTACTAACAAATCAAGGATGATTGAGGTGACCATTTATAGCTTATAAGCCGTCGTCAGCCAGCTATATCTAAATCCAGGTTTGGGGGTACCTGACGTCATCTCTTCTGTTTCTGTTACCAGCTCATGTGCGGCAACATGTGGGACTCTAGACCGAGTTTAAAGGCACAACGGACGAGCATGTCCCCTAGCCCGATCAATGGACGCAGGTCAAAATGTCAGATATTCCCCATCTCAACCAACAAGAAAACGGGCCCCTGGGTCTGTGATAGTGCGTTCGGCTCAATGACTAGGTAGCTCGGGCTCTAGTCACACGTGTTGCAAGCCTGGGGTTGAGTATGACTCGATGAGGGTGATGATGATGATGATGATGATGATGATGATGATGGTGGTGGTGGTGGCGGCGGCGGCGGCGGCGGCTAATAAGCCCGTAATGGTCATTCGATCTACGTTGTCTCTGTCGGCCCCCCTCTTAGAAGCGCATGCATAGTGAGCATGCGTTCACCGAGCAGCTTACTGCGCATGCTCATTCTGTTGCCCTTGCAAACACTAAGTTAATAATCACCTACATAAATTTCATTGACGTTGGTTCCAGCTAGAGGTCAAAATGTACTAGTTAGAATTTATAATGGGGTCAGTTACATGCTTATTTTTACTATTTAAAACAGCGCTTTCCCTTCATCTTCAGTACCGTCATATGAATAAGTCGATGATGCTATATGTCTCATAATTTCCTGGTCTTTCTCCATAACTAGGAGTTTAGGGAGGATTATGAGAATTCAGTGGACCTAGTTAATGTTTATTGAAATTACCATAATCCCACGCTTCACTGAATAGAATAACCACGTTGCCCTGTTCCATATCTTACAGAAAACCGAGCGTTCATTATCCTTGTTGTGGCCTCGATGCCTCTTACCACAATTCGGTTCAGTACTATACGGTGAGTGACGCATCCGAACATTTCGTTCTTCTGCGCTTTAATACGACAGAGGTGTAGAGGTTTTCAAAATTGATCTAACACACAAATAACTGAGAATCTAGACTTTAGCTTTAAGATATATAGTAGGCCGCGATTACAAAGTAAGTCACAAGAACGTTCTTTTAGTGTGAGCTCATTGAGCTCGCTCAGTCTTTCCTATGGTTTTTTTTACTCATAATGACATTTTAGGGGTCAATAAATGCTTATTTTGATGGGGATACTGATCGTTCATCTAAATACGTAGGCACAGTGCTCACAGAAGTGGCTTAGTTTACCAAAATTTTAATTGAACGCCATTTACGATCCGAATTGAGGTTTTTTATAACGGTTTCGGACAGTATACATGTCTTAAAGAACCTATGTGTTGGGGTGTCATCAAGTGAAAACCTCGGTTTTTAGAATAGTCCTTAGCTCTATGTGTATGGGTGCATCCACCTAAGGCCATGGGTTTCTCGTTGTCCATTCTGAAAGCATTTCGTACACTATTGTTTAAGAATTCAATGCTATGTCTGACACTTATTTGGGATTTATATTGCTGACAGGGCTGTGCAAGTTGCTCACACAATATTAGACACCTTCTGGATTCCGGCGACCCTATCGCTCAACTTGCACAGACTGCATCTCGATGGCTTGAGGTAGTCGGAAAGACAAAGACGGTCCCGTTAACAGCGGAGGGGAAAAGGTGAGAAGCTTCAACAACTTTAATTTTCCTCTGTAGGCGTTGTATTTGAATTGGGTTTCGTGAAGACAACAATACCGGTTCTGGACTTTATAAATGGATACTAGAAATTTCTTGATCGTAAACGTTTTTACGAGTGACTCATTTCAGTCAGATATCCTATAGACGTAGAGATGTAAAATCCCCTAAAAACACCATTTGAAACGCTGGCACAGGTAATCTGTTGTCGTCTGACAGATCCAGATTGCATCTTGGTTAGTCAGCCTGAAGACGAAACATAGAAGAGAGCCGAAAATCAACGATTTTGAGCATTTTGTTGCCCTCTCTTTTGGCAGTTGAGTGAGTAAGAAACCCGGGTTAGGTAATGAAGTACTCAAGCGCAACTTGAAAAGCCGGGAATGCCAGTAAAAAAAACAAACCGTGGCAGCTGAAAACGATGGCACAGGAATACGGGAAAAAGCTAAGTATGGAGAAGCGAAAAACCACAGGAGTTTAGTGCGAATAAAACCAACAAGACCAAGAATCTAATTGAAACACGCGAAGAGCGACGAAAAGTGTCCTAACTAGATGCCAGATTTCACTCATTTAAGATGTTGACTAATATCCAAACACAACAAGATGAACTCCGACGGCATCATCTCTTCTGAGATGCATCGTTAAACAGAGGAACTTCATCTTTCCTTTTTATCGTTCCCTAGCATTATAGGTTTTCCCTACCAGACACTTCAATAACGAGGGGATCGGCAAACTAGGCCAGCTTGCAGGCGGCCAGGAAATGGTGTTATTTTTGAATTTTTTCTTAAAGATTAAATCAGAAGGCTGTTTTTAATACTCCAAGCATCCCGCGTAAATGGCCTCACGTTGTCATGTCTTACGGATTTGAGGGGTCCTGAATGTTTGAATCCCCAACATGTAATTCACTGAAGCCTTGGACAGCTTCTAGAAGCTTGGTTTCTTGTCAAGTATTCGTGGTTCATTTGGTAAAATTCAGCTCAGGACCATTAGCCGCCTGAAAAAAAGCAGTAAACTTAGCAAGAATTGCGCATACATGGAGTGGGCTTGAACCTTCCCCGCCAAAAGTAATATACTTATTATTCCAACTAGAGCATCATTTTTGTTGTGGTATTGCTAATTGAAGTATCTTAAAATTGCATTGCTCAATTTACTTGATCAGGTAGGGACGGCTTGCCAAATAAAGAGTAAAAAAGAGCAGGGTCAATCACATAGTATCGGTCTAAAATGGCCAGGAATAACAGCTTTCAGGGAGATCAGCACTCCTGTAGCTCTCTGTATACGGCGGCTAAAGAACGCTACCGTCTCTGAAGAATTTTATAAAATTGTCAACTTGTGGTTTGGTGAGTATTTTCAAAGCTACCTAGAAGGCTTTAGGAAAGTATGGTGAAATAGGAAGTTGATCAAACTGTTCGAAATTACTTCTCAGGCAGTCATTCCTCCATTCCGAAAGATTGAGGTCCGCCGGGGCGGATAGTGATCGATGATGCGGGACTGGCATTTTGGAAGGCGAATGACTGCCTCTGGTTTAACCTATTTATTCGCCGCAACAAACTAACGCAAATATCTCGGGCAGTCGAAAAAGGACTTCTAAGGGGATTTGCGCTTCTTATTTGTGTTCCGTACCATAAGTTCCATGCTGGTGTCCTAAATACAGAGCCGGTGCTCTCCTGATGGCCTTAAACGAGTCTCTACCCAGCTGGCAGTCAGCTGGTAATTTACGATTATGCAATGAAATTTATTCCATCATATTCGAAAGAGAAGAACTAGTCAAAAGCCCTGCCACATGTTCTACCGGCATAATATGGCTACATGTAACAGTAACAAAGCCTTCGGCTTATTGGGACAGAAGGTTAGACTGATATATCCCCGGTATATTCTGCTTTTGGTTTGAATTTTCAGAGTGAGATTATGGAAGTTGTCAAGGGCGCGCCTTTTTAAGTTCCCCCAGCTCCTTGGCTAACAACTTTAACTGCACGGATGCGACCTCAACTGAGTGGTCGACAACAGTAAAGTATGCAAAATATAGTGATGGCGTGGTAGCCAAAAACATTTGTTAGACGGGAAAGCTGTTAGCGTGGTTGTGCGGGTGGAGCACATGCGGAAGAACACAAAATCGCCATGGTAATACCAAAGATAAAAAACACAGGCAAAATAAGGCATTTTGTTTAAGTGGACGTATAAAGTGCTAGAAGGCGAGCGCTAAATGAATAATAGGAGAAAATGCAGGCAAATAAGGGGGTGGAAACCACCAAAGCGGTAGGGGTTGAATGATGAAGGAAAGGAAACATGTCATGGGCGCGTGAAGGACTCGCAGGATTATAGCGCAAATCGTCCATCGTAGTCAGCGCGATAGAAAGTGGTCAGCAGCACTGGGCACTTGCACACCATGGGACAAGTCATGGTTTCATCCTAAAAGGCGGGTAATTAATCTTTCCAGACGGAAAAGCCGATTTCTATCCCAAAAATGTAGAAAAATTCAAACCAATTAAGAACAAAATAGGATATACAACAGAGATTCATTTTTTATTCCGAACAGTACGTCAAAAAATAAGTAAAACAAGAAAAGTGGAGATTTACGACGGAAAAGTTAGTTTTGTTTACGAAAAATCCAGCAGAATTTAAAAATGAGATAGGGTAAGACTTCAGGACGAAAAAGTTTATTTTCTCCCAGAGAAATGTATCACAAATCAAATCGTGTATGATAAGGGCAGGATTTCAGATGGAGAAGTCAATAATGCAGTCAACAATGCAGTCAATAATAAAGTCCTAGAAAAATTGCATCAAAAATTAAACTAAATTAATTAGGAATAGGTAGGATTTAGGGCGGAAGCGTTAATTCCTATTCCCGAAAAGTAAAAAAGTAGGATTAGATAGATATAAAGGATGGAAAAGTTAATTTTTATTTCCCGAAAAATATACGAGCAATTAAATAAACTAATATTAAGGACGAATTTAGGAAGGAAACGCTCATTTCAACCCTTAAGACTTCCAGCAGAAACAAAAATAGGATTTGGTAGGTATGTAAAATGGAAACATATTTCTATTCCCCGAAAAATGCGTCAGGAATGAAATAAAGTAGGATTAAGTTAAGAGTTATGACGAGAAGGTCATTTTTATCCCAGAGTAATCCTAATTTATTAGACTTATCAGGGTAGTGCAATTTAGGCAAATGAAACCCATAAAACATGGCTACTCAGATGCCAGTAGTAGACAGATGCCAAGGTAAGCAAAAGGTGAGACCACGCGGTCATGTCACCGAACAATCTTGTACTGCCTATGACTGAGAAGACCTACGTGACCATATTCCAAAGAATCCGAAGATACGCAGGACTTAAGTTGATGACCGTCACTTTAGATTGGATTGAGGATGAAGGCAATCAAGTTTACATACTCACAGTCGAGCTTCTTAACGTTTCTCCAGGAGGCAGCTTGAAGACAGGTCACTTATATTGCAGATGTAATATAATAGACTTAGTCCCTAAAAGACTCTTGGACCATTCCAATCAGGGCAATTCCACGAGTCATTGGGGGACATCCTCTATCTACTGAGAACTGCAACGCCTTCTACTTAAACAAACTCATTGTAGCGACAACGCCTTTCAATATCCTCGGTCGTCTCGCCCGTCCTGGCAAGCATGACATCAACCCGAAAGACTATTGTGCCGGTCAGCTGACAGTTGACGACGTGAGTCCATGTATCTTACTTTTATTTGTGAATTACTTCGTCCGTAATGACCAAACTGCAGATTGATTCCAAGTAAGGATACTTGCAAGCACCGCTTGGTAAGGCCAAAACATCACATACTGTCACGGTTTTAATGAATCCGGAGGACGAGAGGAACATGACATGTTTACATACCTCCAGAGTCTAAAGACTGCGCTGTGGGCAAAACTTCCTGTGTAAACTCACTAAATGTTAATTTAATTTGCATTTCTGTTTAAATACACGAATTGGTCAATTAAGTAGTCATCCGGCCCCCAAATGTATGATAAAAGTTAACTTAAAAAATACTTTAATCATTCGAAAATCTCTCCATGTATGTTGCTAGGGCAGTTTCCAATTTGATCGAGGAATTAAACATTCACACTCATTTATGAAAAAATCATGTCCTTCCCTTGCCTGAGGAGCATGCATACTCAAAACTCTGTTTCTGAAGACCAGGTGCCAAGTAAAATTGGGAGATACATGCCATCTGATGATCAACAAGGGTCTAAATTCTGCCTGAGGTTCCGGAGCAGCTATGGCTTATACTGATAAAATAGATGGTGTGGGTACATGGGTTAACGGCAACCGTGAAGAATAAAGCACATTTTGAGAAGCGTTTGCGTCTAGCGCTCGTTCCTTGTTACCAGCCAGGAGCTCCAGTCCTATGCAACTTCAGGACAGTTCAATTGTCCCAACCTAAATACCATCCAGGGAATTCTGACCATCAATACTGACTTACACCGAAAATTTAGCCCTTCCCCGACTAATTCAATGTAAACTTGAACAGTGCTCGAGGCAACTGATGACGCTTCAGGTGAGTCGCATCCTTTGTTTTTCTTCCCAAACGTCTTCCGGCAGGAATATCAAGGCGCCGAAATGGTCAAACGGACTAGAAAGAATCGCGACCTACTGGAAAACAAGAAAGACATTTTACTAATCAAGAAGGTTGAACACCATTGTTGTCTTTGTGGCGTAGAGTCCTCCTCAGAGCTTCGAAAGTCTACACCTTTCGAACCAATAACGGTGTTCTTTAGATCATAATATTGGCAATTTAGTCATAATTACAGACAGCAACTTTCGACTTCAGCCAGATAGTTATGCATTTCGGAGTGTTGTGGCTAGGATCCTATCTAAGGCACCACTAAGGTCGTTTTATCAGGGGGTGCAAGGGTGATGCACTAATTACTATTGTTTACATTCTATCAGAATATACGAACAAACTCCGGTCACAAACATGACGCTGAGTAGAAATCAAGTCCACGCTCAAACGAGTGTATTTTGGCGTTTCGGCTTCCCTTTCGAAGCCATCATCTGAGGCACCAATCAGTGAGTGACTATAACTCACAGGAATGCATTGTCTTCAGCACGCATCTCTTTCGTAGTTGCATACCTGTGGATTGGTCGGCGGAACTTGATTCATCCGCCATTAACCGGGTTAAGCTAATTTATTCCGCAAACTACTCGATTTCTCTTGAATTGCTGCTTGAACCTCGCCTATGCGCAGGGAAGGGCAAATTTGGAACCGACAAAAGCTAATGCCAGTTCCAAAAACTATTTGGGAACAAGACTCGATTGCCGGAATTCGCCTTTCCGCTTATATCAAAAATTCCTGCACCAATGATCGCATAGTCCTCCTCTCAGTCCTAAAATTCTTTTGTCCAACTACTTAGGTATGGTAAAAAGAGAGGGACCCCATGCGTCGCTGTTGTTCATTGCCTCAAACCCATTTTATTACATTTGAACTGACTCCTATGAAAAAACCTAGCTTGTGCATTAAAATCCTTTAGCCTGTGAGTGGGGAGATTCACATCTATGCTCCAGAACACATTGAAATTGGGGCCAACTCCGAGAATCCAAATTCGGTTACTAAGTTGCTGGTTCTGCCTAAGGAAGTGGACGTAGCTGATTCTGCCGTGTGGGACTCCGCGAAGACGCTAAGGGCGAATCAAGACTCCCAGCGCCAAGACGGTAATTAGTTTTTTTGTGCATGCACCTGAAGACTGATTACTTTGCGTATTGTATTTTCCCTCTCTTGCGCTATTTCGAGGCGGTTTTCAGACTACAATCAGTCCAATTTCATTCATAACTTGTGTAAAACAAAACTGCCCTGTCAAGAATTGCGCCAGAGACATTTCATTTAGGCTCTTCCTAGGACATAGTCTGTATGCATCTTTACGGAATGTTAGCGGTTCGCTTCTGACCTACGCCCACCTTGCGTTATCTGTTCCATCAGCCAAAAGATGAACAGCGCATATGGTTTGGTGTAAATGTCAGGGATACTAGCGGTTTGTGTACAGACAATTTGTTGCAGTCCGTAATTTCATTGAGTAGCATTTAATTTTGTAATGCAGCCTATAGAACTGAGAATAAGTCTTTAATATGTCTAATAGTAAGTTGAAATTTTTTTACTTACACTTGTAACTTTAGCGTTTTGTTGTACCCGCTTTTCTAGTTAGTTGGTTGGAACTTTAGAAAAGACTTTTTGGCAGAAAGATAGAATCCTCATATAAATGGTTATATTGTAATGTTGACTCTACTTAGGCATGGAGTATCAAATATTACTTAAGAAACTTAACTTGTGAATATTTTCATAAACTTAGATTTACGTCGAATGAAGTATTTGACAGAATTTCTGGTTTCACTGAGATCGCCGACCACCGATGAAACTATTTTGACACCTAAACAGGTAGGGTGATCCCCTCGAAACGGGATTTGACTTTAAGTTTTTGCAATCAGCTTTGTTTATTTGAGAGTTGATAATACCTTGCCCGCCAGTATGTTTTTTTGCGGAACTGCACAGAAAATTCAAAACAGGAAGACATCCATCCCTCCTATTCCTTGAGTCTTTGCAGTCGTGCACTACTGAATTTCACATTTCGACTAACGAAATCAAAAGCATATTAGTGTCTGCAATAAAAAACTTCAAGGGAACCTTACTAGTTGTCTGCAGACATCGAAAAACTAAATGTGTGTTTGCCATCTAAGCCGTAAATGACATCCACCCTTCTAGCTCTAGAGTTTACCCTCTATATATAGTTTACTCACATCCGTGGAGTAGATCGCATGGCCCCCGCGAATTCGATGCCGAATTATCTTGCAGTGGAAGTCCTTTGATGCCGACTAACTCGTCCGTGTTTTTTTTAAATCTTAGCATCCCGGAGGAATATTCGTCCGTCTAGAAGCTGAGTGGCGTATGAAAATCGGACTTACGAACTCCGCTCGCCTACCCAGCATTACTAGGTTAGTCATTTCCGCGTTGATTATTGGTGCAACTGAATCTCAGATCGAGACTTCTAGCTAGGCCATCGAGCATACTTGGCTTAAAGCGCCTGTTGGGTCGAGAAGGCAGGAATCGTTTTCTTTGTTAGCGAAACTTAATGCCTTTGATTCCAGTGTGTATTCTGTTTCCCTTCTTTCGGTATCCTACTGGTCCTTGAACTTATGGACTGATTGACCCCTTAAGTCAGCCTGCATTGGGGAAGGCTGACAATTACACATGTCAGTCTTCATTTTAGGTGCAGCCGTATGTATGAGCCAGATTTTTGAGACGTTAATTTGCGGTTCGTGTAGTTCTTGAGGAAGAATCTAGCGATTTGCTCTCGTAAAATTTAGTTATTTGGCTATTCGCCAGTGCACCCTGACTTTGGATACTCGGAAACACTTTTCCCGACATTACTACCTAGAACTCATATTTGTCCTACTTAAATAGGCTAAGGGTGACTGGCAATGCCTTGTAAACTTCTTGACGAGAACCGCGTCTTAAGATAACTTACAGTCTACGGTTTCAAACGTCTGTTTCTCCCAGTAAAACCCTTTTTAATGGATCCAACTGTCCGATATACCCAAGACCGCGGTAAATTTTCTTCCGCAAATACTACATTTATATATTATGGCTTTAGGTTGAGTAAATTTAATTCGTGTCCATTTTACCAAAATCACATTTACAATTCAGAGTCGGTATTCACTAGAGGCGCAAAACGCCCTTTCGATCGGCGTTTCAATGCGCAGGGTGAGTGAAAATATAGGCCAAAAAGGTCGAGCAAAATACCTGGGGGATACTAAGGCGCAGCAGGCTGATCAAGGGAACAGTCTATTCGGCAGCTATATCCCATTTCACATATGTTGGTTGGAAACTTTAGACTGTCGGCAGTGTCACCGAGATGCATCTTGCCTCATCAGAATTGGTTGTGACTTTCTGGATCCAAACCGAATCGGTATCACATCGGGTTTCCGGCCGCAAAATTATGGAGAAAATATATGTGCTGTTACTTTGGGAATGTTTTTTAATATTTGGATGCTTCTCCGCAGTCATCACAACCCCTTTTATCTTAAAACAAAAGTACATAATTGGCGTATAAAAGCGACCCAAAATGACCTTGCTGTTCTAACCGAAATGGACTTATGAAAGGACATTTTAGTAACTAACCTTAAAAGAATATTTATACTCAAGTCCGTACATCAGTCAACTAGCATCCCAAATACACCTTTTTATGGCATGTCCCCGTCCGAAGGAGTGGGACAACATGGGATGGGCGGGGTCATGGTTCAGTCCCAGGAGTCATTCGTCTTTTCTATACATCTTTTTTGTTATACTGCGTATTTTTTTCAGTTCAGAAAACATGGGTACGTTTGTTGAGTAGATCATCCTGCAGGAACAATGGTTTAAGAGTACTTCCTTGTGTTATTTGTTTTCGGGGGACTGGATTAAACTAAATATCTTTTTTTAAATTCCATCCTCTAACCCTATTCACTGCCGTCCATATGACGGGGCCGACAGCCCGGATTTCAGAATGTGGTCCCATTCATCCGTGTCGTCTGCGCAAGGGACCTACCCACGCTGCCTGCGCTGAAAAGCTAACATCATTCTTGATCATTGTGCTAAAAATAAAAGACCAATGATCTCCTTAAGTGGGCCATTACCCCATCCCACTCTGTTTGCCCCAACCCTTGGACAGAAGCATACTCCATACTGAGGCTTTTCTACCAAGCTAGATCTAGATTTTCCCATCCTTTATTTGATGACACGCGAAACTGCATTTTTGGTGAAAACTTCCTCGTGACTCAATGTTAGTCGCTAACTCACGGCATGCATTGACTTTGGATCGTCAGCTGCGAGATAGCAGATATACACAGCTTTGTCCTGTAGTCCGGATGGGTCGCCGCATGTCACTCTTACCTGATTTTAAATATTTTTGAACTTAGAGGACAGAGCCTCAGGCTGGTACCTGAATTAGATAGATCGTTTGACGTAAATGCTCAAGAACATATTGAAACTGTTTACAAACCCTGGGTGTTCCATCATCTGGGGTGAGATATTGCCGGCTAATTACAGTTATTAAGTCAGAAATGGCCATTTAACTTACTTTAACGCCTGTTGATAATACCTAGCATACTGTAGTAGACCAGCTCAGATAAGGTCTACTTAGTCTCATTAGTCATTTAAGAAGTTCGTACATCCCTAAAACCCTACGTAATACGTGGTTGTGGATATGCAGCCTTATTGCTGCCTGAATGTTGAAGCCTGGCAGACATGAATAAGCCCGTATGCACGGACGGCCGGTTTCAGCAGATCACGAGGCCTGCACAATTGCATATACAAGATTTGCTAGACGTATTAGTCAGGGAAAAGAAAAAATTGTGGCCAGGGGGCAAGGAAAGGTAAGATGGACAGTGTGATCAATGACTTATTCAGAAAAAGAAGACTTTGGTGAAAAAATGTCAACGGACAAATCAATAAATTTTGACAGAACTTAAAAAGAAGTGTCAACCCTATCTTCAGTAGAGCAGATGCTAAACTTCGCATCAAGCATCCGGGCAGTTTTATCTGAGCGCCGGTAATCGGCAAGAAACACCGACTGAATTATGCTATATAACATGAGCTTGTCCTGAAGGCTTGAGTCATAAAAGGGTCATCGCAGTGAACACGAAACGTCAAAAGTGACTGCATCAGACTATTTTCTACGGCTAATGATGTTCTCTGGCATTTCTTAGTCAGTTGCTGATCCTTCTATATCCATAAAAGAGTATTCTGGAGTCATTTTCTTGACAATTCGTTTGTT